AGATGTAATATTATCTACAGCTACTCTTAGTACCATTGATGTTAAGTTAGACTCTTTTTCTCCAATTGACCTTTCTGAGTTAACTTCAATAATTACTTCCTCCAAACCATCAACGTGTCTTTTAGACCCCATTCCTACAAAACTGCTCAAAGAAGTCCTGCCATTAATTAATGCTTCGATCTCTAATGATCGGCTATGTACCACAGGCCTTCACAGGCACAATAATGCATTACATTACTGCATTACTAAAAAATGTAATGTGATTACAGTGAGGTGTTACACCTGACACGGTGTAATCAGCCCTCTGTGTGTCTTTTTATAAGAATCCTCACAGTGTGTCTCACTGACAGCAGTGGCCTCTCAGGTCTCTGTGACGCTGCCATCGTTCTGCTGTTACGATGCCAGCGTGCTCACAGGGCAGTCTGGGTTTACCTTCTCTCTGATTTCTGCAGTAACACGGAGGAGTCGTCCTCACGCCTGACGAAATAAACCGGTCGGTGAAATGACGTGAAAAGGATTTAAAATAATAAAAACCTGTTTGAATAATCAGGAGGAAAAGACGTTTATGGAGTTAGAGTTTGTTTGAGGAAGTTGTTCAGTCGTTACGACCCTTTGTGTCACGTGTTACTTTTACTAAAATAACATGAGAGAGCCTGACCGTCTTATTTTGAAAATCTCCAAAAATACAACAAACCCTGCTCTTTAAACCTGCTGATGCAGTAAATCCCGAGAATACAGACAAAGTGTTTCCTGCAAAAAGGCCTGAATTAAATCACCAAGTACTCAAATCACACGTTACACAAACCGCATCTTTAAACGAAACGTTGGTGGAAACGAGACGCTGAACACACGTCAGTGATCACCACACCGCTGCTGCAGATTTTCCACTCTGATAACTGTGGAATGAAAGAAACCTGACCTGCAGGTAACAGAAGCATTCATGTGATCTCACAGAGCTCCGCCCTCACCTGTCTCGCCTGCCGTAAATCAGAAAGCAGGTTGTTATTCTAACCAAAGACAGAGACGGACAGACTGAGCTTCAGCTGCTGATGCTCCGCAGTGAAGGCTCACGGGGATTTCCATTTATCAGTAGCTTGTGTCGTGCAGCTTCGTGCCACATGGAGAACAGGTTCTGTGGTTTGTGTCTCATGCGGTGACAATAAAGGCATTCATTCAGCAGCAGAGGAGGGAGGGGAACCAGGACTGACTGTACTTCCTGTCTGCTGCTTCCAGCCTCACTCAGAGACTCCATGGCTTCCAGATCAGAGGAGGATCTGTGCTGTCCGATCTGTCGCGACATCTTCAGAGATCCCGTTCTTCTGTCGTGCAGCCACAGCTTCTGTAAAGACTGTCTGAGGAGATGGTGGAGAGAGAAGCCAACACAGGAGTGTCCGATGTGTCAGAAAAGATCTTCGAGGGTGGATCCACCGGTTAGTCTGGTGCTGAAGAACCTGTGTGAGTCGTTTGTAGAGAGGAGAGATCAGAGAGCTTCAGAGGATCTCTGCAGTCTGCACTCTGACAACGAGCAGACGAAGCACAGCGACCACAAGTTCAAGCCCATCGATAAAGCTGCACAACAACACAAGAATGACCTTCAGGAAACTGTGGAAGCTTTAAAGCAGAAGTTAAAGGTCTGTGAAGAAGTCCAGGTGAACTTTGATCAAACAGCAGGACACATTAAGGCCCAGGCCCGACGCACAGAGAGGAAGATTAGGGAGCAGTTTAAGAAGCTTCACCAGTTTCTAGCAGAGGAAGAGGAGGCCAGGCTGACCGTGCTGTGGGAGGAAGAGGAGCAGAAGAGCTGGATGATGAAGGAGAAGATGGAGGCTCTGAGCAGAGAGATAGCAGCTCTTTCAGACACAATCAGAGCCACAGAGGAGGAGCTGAGAGCTGAAGACGTCTCATTCCTGCACAACTACAAGGCTGTGGTGGAAAGAGCCCAGCGCTGCCCCCTGCTGGATGATCCACAGCTGCCCCCGGGAGCTCTGATAGACCAGGCCAAACACCTGGGCAACCTGACCTTCAGCATCTGGAACAACATGAAGGACATGGTCTCCTACACTCCTCTGATCCTGAACCCAAACACTGCAAACCCAGAACTGACCCTGTCCGAGGATCTGAGCAGCGTGAGGGTGGGTGGGCTGCAGCAGCTCCCCGATAATCCAGAGAGGTTTGATCATCTCTGCTTCGTCCTGAGCTCTCAGGGCTTCACCTCAGGGGCCCACAGCTGGGTGGTGGAGGTTGGAGACTGCGGACACTGGGGACTGGGCGTGTTAGCGGAGTCCGTCCGGAGGAAGGGACCCATACGCTCTGGATTTGGTGGAATAGGATTCAATCAAGGTGAATACTCAGCTCGCTCAGGATCTGCTGCCCCCACCGTCCTGCAGCTGCAGAAGAAGCTCCAGAGGATCCGAGCGAGTCTGGACTGGGACGGAGGACAGCTGTCGTTCTCTGACGCTGACACTGACACACACATACACACCTTCACACACACTTTCACGGACAGGATGTTTCCCTTCATCAGCATCGGGGATAAAGTCCCAGTGAAGACTCTGCCCGTGAAGCTGTCGGTGGATCGGAGCTATTAAACCAAACGACACGTGACCCCGTCTGAGCCCGGAGGGAGGAGTGTGTGTCTGCTGGACAGGTTTGTTCTCGTATGTAACTCATGTTGCTGTGTATAAGCCTGTGTGTGGATCAGCAGCTCATCTCTCACTGTTCACCTGAACTGTCCTCTCAGCAGCCTCTGTCCACAGACTGTAAATAAAAGAGCTCAGCTAATGTGACCTCTGACCTCTTCACTTGTTCTCAGACAGCTGACACTGCACGCACACACACGCACACACACACCCACACACACACACGCACACACACACTCTCTACTGTGATACCCAGGGTCACACCAACAGAGCCTTGGCCTCACCTGACATGGCACCTGAGGGTGGAGGGCTCAGAGGGCTCATTCAGAGGCCCCTCCTCCTCTGTGCGACTCTCGTGTTACGGCTCGCTCTTGGCCTGACCCCGCCCCCGTGGGAGGCGCTGACATGAGCTGCTGTCACAGGGCACACCTATCTCCACCACACGAACATGGCGACTCATTCAAATAAGACATTTGAAATCTGAGACGGTGCTTCTCAGAGTCAAATCCACAGTCAGCAGCCGTCACAGCTGCAGGCAGCTCGCTCCAAGCTGCACTCACCTCCGACCTGTGTTTCTTTCTCCGCCCTTCCTGGCAGGTACTAAGAGCTTTCCTGTGCAAGGACCTGACACGTAATAATCTCAGGCAGCTGTTCGGAGAGGTGAGGCCAAGATTGGTGGGCAGCTGGGATCAAGGTGGCAATCGCTTACTTCCTGACGTTCTTCTTTCCTGCAGTTTCTCCTCAAGCGAAGGTGTGACAAACGGCTTTCTCTGCTGCCGCAGGAAATACAGCTCTCCAGCTACCTCAATGAGTCATGAAGGAAAGATGGCGGAGTGCCTCGGGAGCTGTGCGGTGATGGAAAACCAACACTGGGACTCATTTGTGTTTGTTGAACAGCAGCAGAGATGAAGAAGTGCCTCAGAGGACTCGACGGCGAGCAGCCAGCATGTTCCTGAGGCCTTTAGTAGACGCGCAGGCAGGAAGTCGCTTTAGTTCTGCCTGACTCTGATTTACAGACCAACCGTGGAGCACGCCGCTGAAGCCCGATGATGAGCTGTCAGCACAGCGAACGCACCATGATGCACGACGAGCCGAACACACGAGCGTGGCGGGGAGACGGAACTTCGCTGTCAGAAGGGTTACTGCATTAAACAACGCCCACTTTGATGCCGTGATGACGTCCTCGTCAGAACACCTGGACAGGTTCCTCTGAGCTCCTCCGGTTCCAGCCCGGCGCCCCGGAGCGTTTGGTGCCCGGCCCTTTGAAGCCTCGGTAGAGAGCTGTGATTGGCTCCTGGAATATTTCAGCTGCTCTCACGCCCGAGGACGTTTCTGTGCCGCAGCGCTCGGCCCGTCTCCTGCTGCCTCCTGCTGCCGGTCGCTCCAGCTCCCGTTTCCCTGTGACTCGGAGACCTGTCTGACCTCTGACCCCGAGCAGGCTCCTCCTCCTGGTCAGCAGCTCGTTAGATGCAGCAAAGCTCCCAGAGCTTTAACTGACCTGCTCCTCCAGCCCCTCCCTCAGGTCGTCGGCCCGAGGATCAGGGATCAGCTGCCGTCAGACGGCGTTTGGGTAATTAGGAGTCGGATGTTCTTTAGAAATAAACTTATTTCACTCCAGACGTGTTCGCGTTGAGCGCCATGATGCGGTCACGTCTAGGCTCAGACTGTAATCACACTTCATGCAAACTCCTCTGACGGACCACAGGGAAGCACATCTTGTTCCCTGGACCTGTGCTCGCGCTCTAGCAGACGACCCCCTCGGCCACATGCACGAGTCATGTTTCTGTGCAGAGTGACAGCACCAGTTCACTGCTACCAATCGCTCATCCCGCAGAGAGCTAGCCTCAGCAAACACAGCTCGTGTGATTCAGTGCAGAGACAAAGGCCCGCGTGAGTCGTTGTGGGCGTTTGGTTTGGATGAAAGCCTCGGGAGGCCTCGAGCGTCAGATGAAAGCTGCCTTTTGTTGATTGGATTCACTTCAGAGGTGTAGTTTCACCTGCGTGGGTCGTTTTCTCACAGTTATCAGTCAGAGGTGAAGTCCAGCAGTCTGATGAACTGCGAACACAGGAAGACCCACGTTTACTGCCCGCTCACATGCAGCGCTTCAAAACCAGAGTCCCACCCTCAGACCGAACACACAGCTGTGTGAGTAAAACTCGCGTTTAGTCTTTAAAATACAAATCATACTGGTGGTAGTAAAAGATTAGGGTAGTAAGCTCTCAGTACACCTGCACAGGTACGCTGCTGGCCGTGAGTCAGACCTGCTGCCGGCAACTTTGAATAATCTTTGATTATTACTGTGGACAGAATTTCCAGGTCTCAGGTCGTTCCTGTTTGGAGCTGTTGAGGCTGAACCAGACGGCAGACAGACTCATCTCTGCGAGCTGTCGTCACGTGACCAGGACGGGACACGTGTGATGGGTCGCCGTCGCTGAACAGACGGAGCTCACACCGCAGAGACGTTCCTCTTTTCCTTTTTTGCTTTTAAGGTGAAGCTTCTGCAAACGTTGCTGCTGAGTCTTCAGACAGATTCACCAACGTCTGCACGCTGCGTTAGCTACGACTCACCTGAGCAGATCTTGTCCTCGTGCACCAGCAGCAGGAAGTCACATACACGGCAGTAAATATTCACGTTTTACTATCATTATTATTCATGACTGTATTAGTCGAAACCTTATAAATGAAAAAGTTGTAAACAGCTGAAACTTGGATTTTTGAGATGGTGAAACTTTATTTAGGACTCCAGACTTCCCAACAGCCACTCAGAGACCCGCCCACACGGCTCGGCGGTTCCTCACAGCCTGGATGTGAAACTCGTTCTGTGGAATAAAGAGAACAAAGGCATCTTTACTCTGGGCCACTTGCTTTCGACTGACTGTTAGTGCACGAGATTTCTGCTGGAAACCTGAAATTCAGCCACAGAAACGCTGTGGTTTGATCCCGCCTCCTCCGCGCTACAGGTCCAAGTAATCTGGGCGAGATCAGAAGCTCCGAGTTGCTCCTGAGCTTCCGCGTGAAGCTGTTACTGCTGCATTTACCAGGCTGAGGTCAGGAAACACTGATGAGGTCTCACACCGAGCTGACGTTCACGTTCGAGCTGCTTCTCAGTAATTACAGCTATAATTATAATTATGGCACCAGAGCCTGAGCTGGTATCTCTCACACACCAGCTCAGTGTTGGGCTGTCTCTGTAAAAATATTTTATCACTGAATAAAACTCAACTTTAGATGAGATGAAAAATATGCTTCAAATAAGTTTAATCTGAATCTGAGGAGGACCTGATGGATGTGATCAGGCGCAGGATCACGAGTGTTTCTATTGGAGCGTCTGCTCTGAGCCTGGGTCCAGATAAACAGCCTCAAACAGACAAACACCTGAAACAGGAAAATCAAGCTGACAAAAACAAACTTCGCTCACATGAAAAGTGTTCTGGTCTCAGCTCGTTCTGCGCCTGCGGTTTTGTTTTCAAGGACGCTGGGTGGAATTAGCATCAGTCTTCAGGTCAGAAGCTCATCACTGTAACCTTCAGGCTGCTGTCAGAAAAACAAATTAAAGTCTTTGTGATCTGCAGGCCTGAGCGCCGCTCACTGCACGCTGAGGAAAATGGAAGACCTTGGCATTTCCAAAGGAAATGTTAACACGCTGCGATTCTGGTTCCACATTTTAACACACTGTCATCCTGTCATGTTGGGACTCATAAAGGCTTCACATACAGTGTGTGTGTGTCCGTACTGTAGCAGTCAGGCGGAGGCTGATATATCTGCAATGACGTGCCTTAAACAACAGCGAGGAAGATAAGTGAGGTCGGTGTGAAATGTGATTAAAGCACAGCCTTCCCCTCGCCTTTGATTTAAAGGAGCACGACACAAACAACTCATCTCTCCCACCCACACACAGACTTCAGAGGAAAAGCATGAAAAACCAGCAAAGAGCAAAAGAGGACAGAGAGGACGGAGACGCCACGTCAGCACTCCGAGAGCAACTTTGGGGCACGTTTTACTCTTTAACGTGAAAAAGTCCTGCAGGAAGAAACGAGTCTGACCGTCGCATCAGCTGACCCCGTGCAGGACCGTCAGTCAGCTGACGTTTGTCCGGGTGCAGCGTTCCAGGTTATTCGGCTTATTTCTGGATAGCAGGGAAGTGTTCATGGACTGTGGAGTCCACGTGTTTCCTGCCCTGCGCGGGGCAGCAGGTGCAGCTCCAATCTGAGATGTTTTACAGGTTTCTGTTGCAGCGAGCTCCTGTTCTGTGACGCAGCGACAGGGTGGCAAAGAAATCAGATGGGGAGGCAAAACCCAAGCCTTTCTTTTTCAAACACATGCAGGTGGTTACATGTGGTTAAAATGATTCAAATGCAGTAAGTTTACATGCTTTTCATATAAATATGGTCCATAACTTGATTATTGTCTGTAGCCCACATGATTACACACTTTAGTTACATAAAACATGAGTTTTGATCTTATGTACTGTACAGCCTGTATAATAAATAAATATGTCGCCCAATAAATATAAAACCCAGAAAGCTACACAACACTGGCGCTTCATTTACAAACACTAACTGAAGTTTGACTGTTGTTTGTTAGTGAATCATCAAATTGTTACGTTCTTAGATTACACAACATGTCAGAAATCTGCACTGTCATGAACAAAAATGTAAACCTCGTTTTTCATGATTGTTGGATTCACCCTCTGAAATATAACTGCTCATTTTACGTTTGTGTTTCACATTCAAACTGGTTCATTTTGCTTTTCCTGCTCGGTTTCAGTCGTTCAGCCTCACGTGTCTGAATTTAGCTGTTCTTTCATTGACAAACTGTATTAATGTTACTGATCTGAACTCACACAAAACACTTAAAATCCTAGTTGTAGTTTTTTACTGTAAAAAAAAACCCAGACATGTTGAGTAAATTATTTTTATAACTTGAAATGCAAATATAAATTGTATAAGCTTATGCACACATTTTGTAAACACATACAACTATTTACCTAAAAATGCAGCCAATACACCTGCTGCTTTTTATTTTGTACAACCATTTAATAATATTACTAAAACTAAAATGAGAGAACAATCAGGTGTCGCAATAAGATTCACAAATGATGTGTGTCAGTAAAAACATAAAACAGGGCAGCACAGGCAGAAAGCTGCAGGCCTGACAGCAGCAGCTGTATCACTGCGCTGGTTTTCTACCTGGTGACAGTGTTTACGTTGCAACGTGCCTTTGTGACATTCATTAGTGCCCTCACTGACACACAAAACAAAACAGCAACTACACACTCCACACGAAACGTCACAATGTTCCCACATCTAAAAACTCGCTCGCAGTATTTAGAGAAAAGCATGGCTTATATATTCTTTTAATCATAACTCTGGATTTACTGAACTGTAATTAAAATTTAAAATCATCCTTTGAAGTCCGAACCTTCAATATGGGCTGAAATAGAAACTGTTGACTGTAAGTACGCTCAAACTGTTAACGCTATCTTACTTTAACACTGTCATATGTAAAACTAGGGTGGCACTTGCCACCCCATACCACCCTTCTAGATCCGCCCCTGCACCACGAGCCGCTTTACAGCACCCTCCATTCTGATTGGGGCAGAAGCAAGCAGCAGACAATTAGTAGCAGCGAGGAGTACGTGTTGCTACTCATGCTGGATTTATTGGATTTTAGGAAGCAGGTGGAAATCGTTGTTTTATCTCTCCGCTGAGCCGAAGCCGTTTCTGCTCACTGACATTATAGAGAATATACGAAGAGGTTAATGTTATACGACTGAAAGTAACAGCTGCTGCAGACAGCGCTGTGAGTGTGTGCGTGCTTTAAGCACTTTGGTCAGTAAGACTGGGAAAGAGCTGCTGTAGTAATAAAGTTTAGCCTGACAGAAACAGGAGAATAAAAATGTGACTGCAAGATGGAGCAGATTTATTGATCTCTCAGGGCTGTCATCACGGAGAATCTGATGGATTATAATCAAATGCTTCATTAAATGAATGTTTGAAGACAGTTTAAGGCAGGGGTGTCCAACTCCAGGCCTCGAGGGCCGGTGTCCTGCAGGTTTTAGATCTCACCCTGGGTCAGCACACCTGAATCACATGATTAGTTCATTCCCAGGCCTCTGGAGAACTTCATGACATGTTGAGGAAGTCATTCAGCCATTTAGATCAGCTGTGTTGGATCAAGGACATGTCTAAATCCTGCAGGACACGGCCCTGGAGGCCTGGAGTTGGACACCCCTGGTTTCAGGTTTTGTTCTTTCAGCCTCTGTGAAGTTTAACTCTGAGGGTGAAAAACAAAAAGTGGTCAGCAGGTGCAGTGTAGCTGTTCATACAGATATAAAATTATTTGGAGGTTTCAGAAAAAACTAAATAAGGGTCTGAAGCTGCATCTGAGACCATCAGGAAAACCGGCTCTGGAGCAGGTCAGGTTCACAAGTACAGAAATGACCCAGCTTCACAGCAGAGGACATTAACCCTGAAGATACCTGATGAGGCAAATACAAACCTGTGAATCTACCTGTGACATCAAGACATCAGCAGTATCTTTGTGTTTTTATAAGTAATGATTTAAGATGAGTACAGTATGGTATCTTTGATTATCTGTCTGTGTCACAGACATGCTGTTGGAGTGGGTGAAACACGAACCTTAAAGAGTTAATATTGTAAAGACCCTACAATAATACAGAGACAACAGAAAACCCCAGCAATTATATGAACCCCTATAAGCAAACACAGTTGGTGACAATGGGAAGAAAAAACCTCCAGCAGAACCAGTGACCGACTGGGGTGAAAACAGAGAGCCAGAGATTAATAATCAGTAATGATAAGGGGCCTGAAAGTTGAAGGCTCAGCCTCCCAGTCTACTTTCAAATACTCTAGAAACAACAGGCAACCTGCAGTGTGACTTCTGATGGATGATGGATGGATGGATGGATGGATGATGGATGGATGATTGATGGATGGATGGATGGATGATATGGATGGATAATGGATGGATGGATGATGGATGGTGGATATGGATGGATGGATGATGATGGATGATGGATGGATGGATATGGATGGATGGATGGATGGATGATGGATGGATGGATGATGGATGGATGGATGGATGGATGGATGATGGATGGATGGATGATGGATGGATGATGGATGGATGGATGATGGATGGATGGATGATGGATGGATGGATGATGGATGGATGATGATGGATGGATGGTATGGATGGATGATGGATGGATGATGGATGTGGATGATGATGGATGATGGATGGTGATGGATGATGGATGATGGATGGATGGATGGATGATGGATGGATGGATGGATGATGGATGGATGATGGAGATGGATGAGATGGATGATGGATGATGGATGATGGATGGATGGATGGAGATGGATGGATGGATGATGGATGGATGATGATGGATGATGGATGGAATGGATGGATGGATGGATGATGGATGGGATATGGATGGAATGGATGGATGGATGGATGATGGATGATGGATGGATGATGGATGGATGATGGATGGATGATGATGGATGGTATGATGATGGATGGGATGATGGATGATGGATGGATGATGGATGATGGATGGATGATGGATGGATAGATGATGGATGGATGATGGATGGATAGATGATGGATGGATGATGGATGGATGGATGGATGATGGATGGATGATGGCTGGATGATGGATGGATGGATGATGGATGGCTGGATGATGGATGGATGATGTCACAGTTGTGGAATAATGTGGGCAGGGCCTCCCTGCTTGAGGCTAATGAGTGATTTAAAGTGTGCGGGACAGTTAAAGTGCAGAGGATGGGGGGCTGAATGAATACTTCATGAAATGAGGTCATTGTTATCCGCGCTCAGGCTGCACGCTCACTGCAGGAGCGTGCAGCCTGAGCACTGCACCCTAAAGCTCATCTCAGAGCTTCAGGGTGAAATTAAAAGAAGAAGACATGAGTGAGTAAATACTGTGATTTACAAATGTTCAGACAGCCTGTAGTCTCTCTCTGTGCTCAGCGCTCCAACTACAGCTGTGTGTGGTTATCTGCAGCACAGATGTTTGTTTTTGCTGCTGCTGCTCAAAGGCACGCTGGAAAAGGATGAAGAAAAATATGGTGAAAATGTCCTGATTAGTAAACGTCTGCCACTGCAAACACTGTCACAAAGGTGTATCAGTAAATGTTTAATCGTTTCCTCCTCACACGTCTCCACCTGCAGTGTTTCCTCTCTAAATGTCGGCACGTACTGTAAATAAATCGTTTTGTTGCACGCTGCACTCGCTCCCTTTTTCTCTGAGACATTCACTAAATATTTCATCGAGGTTTCTCCCCGCTCTGCCTCCTGCTCAAACCCAGAGTCAGCACAAACTGGGTACATAAAGGGCTCGGCTAAAGTGTACTGCACTGCAAGCCGGCCTTCCTTTTTCATGTTGTGTATCAGGTTCCCTGCAGCTCTGCTCACAGAGGATGTTCCTGTGAAACTGGTCCTCTAGGAGCTGCACAACAGGGCCAGCTTTACAGATGAAACTTTCAGCAACACCAGATAAATAAATAATTAACCTGCATCACAGCAGCGCTCACCTGCAGAATGCATTATGGACAAGCTTCTCCATCAGCATCTTCCTCCAGGGTCAGCGGGGCTCAGGTTCAGCGCCGCACAGTCACGCTCTTTGTTATTCAGCAGTAAACTATGTTAAAGGTCAGAGTGGACACAAGCAGCACTCACTGAACCTGCATTTGTTCTAATGACCAGCAGGGGGCGACTCCTCTGCTCCAATTGGACAGAAGACTGAGACAATTACTTACAGCAGGTAGATTTATTTACTGGAAAGGTGTGATCGTGCTGAATCCAGCAAACGTTCTGCATTAAACATTAAAACCCGGTCCTCAGGTCCAGGTCAGGGACTGCAGTCAAAGAGGCCACGCCCCTAACAATGCAAACAATCAGCCTGTAAACGTGCTTATTTCTGCTGTACAGTTTTAACATGCGAGTTTACTGGGACTGACTCACTGCTGCCCCTGCTGGACCCCAGAGGAACTGCAGCCTTTTGATCGTAAGCCGGGCTTCTTCTTGCAGGTTGATGCTTGTTTGAAAAATAAAACAGACGCTCCGGGATCAAACCAGGAAACGCTTACTCTGCTGTGGAGTGTAGTCTTTATTTTAGTCCAACACAGTCCTGATGGTTCTTCTTGTATCCTGTCACTGATTTGATGTTTTTGTTGTTTTTATGCACATTTCAGAGGCTTTCCTTTTTATTTTCATTTTGCATGTATTTACAACTAAAGTCTTAACTGTGTCTTTACTCTGTGTGATGTAACAACCCTTTTGGGTTATAGCACCACTAGGGGGGGTTGCCCAACTATAGGGCTTCGGAGCGTGATGTCACGGGGGTGGGCGTGGAAAGGATTTTGGCCCGATTCACCATTTTGGGGGTCTAAGCTAGGAGCGATAGCATAGCCATGGTTCGTACTTGCTGTGTGCTCGGCTGCAATGTTGTAGCTATGGGGGTCTCCTA